CCAACATTGTATTCGTGAGTGCTCGACACCCGGGCGGCCCACACCGCCTCGGAACGACCAAGCAGTGTGGGGTGGTTGTGGTTGTGGTTGTCGTTGTGGTTGTGGTCGTGGTGTGTGTTTGGGGGGGGGGGGGGGGCGGATGCTCCACCCGGCCGGCCGCTCCGTGTGCCCCCCATATGTGTGCCCCACCCCGCCGGAGCTCAACCCCCCCCCCCCCCCTCCCCCCACCCCACCCCGCCAGGTCTGGCTCGCGGGCACAAACATCAAGAACCGCGGGGGCGCGCCGAGAGTGGCACGATCATGCCAGAAGTGAACGCGTTTTGAAACGACCGCTTCCGGATAGGATGGGGCACGTGGGAGGCGAACGACGAGGCCATCCTCCGGCTCGACTTGGGCGGCACCAAGCCGCGGCTCATCATGTGGCACAAGCGCATCAGCCGCATCTTCACGATCGGCCTGCCCGAGCGGCAGGACGGCTGGCGGCTGCACATCGGCCTGCACCACGACAATATCAACCACATGCACCTCATGCTGCCAAGCGCAGACGAGACGGCCCTCGTGCAGTGAGCGCGTGCGCCGTGCAGCCCCGTCACTCGGAGCCCCCCCCCCCCCCCCCTCGGGTGGCGGTCGGCCCCCTCCCAGAGGCAGAGCGTCCTGCGCACGCTGCTGAGTGCTGTACATCCCGCCTTACGACGTCCACTAGTGTAGAAGTGTAGTGTCTGTACAACGATGAGCGCCGCATGACATGATTTGAGACAAAAAAGAGCGCGCCAAGCTGGCGAGTCTAGAGACTCTAGTCGCGCGCTCTCTCGCTACTGCGCCTGTATCGCTGTCCTGTGTTTTGCGACAGCTCGTGCAGCACCTGCCGGCCCAGTGCCCCGTTGGCGGGCCCGCCCGCCGCGTAGACCCACGGTATCCACGACGGGATGCCCGCGGCGTCCGCGTGCGTGTAAGCGTACAGGTGCAGCCAGTTGATCAACCCGACCTCGGCGGCCGGCCCGATGAGGGCGAGCAGGGCCATCATGAAAAGGCCACCCTTGCTCCGCTCGAAGAGCAGGAAGGACGCGATCGCGCAGCCCGCCAGCGGCGCGTCCAGCGCCAGCCAGTCGTGGTGGGCGCCGCCGCGCTCCGCCGCCGCCTGCGCCAGCTGTCCGCTCAGGTCGTAGCACGCCACAAACGCAGCCACGCTGATCAGCGCCGTCGGCCAACCGGGCGGTGCGCGAGGACCGCCGCCCCACCGCCGGTCGAGCAGGGGGTGCGCCGCGCCGAGGATCACGCCGGCGCCACCGAATGCGAAAGGCACCCACCAGCACGTCTCCAGGAGCACTGCGTCGCTCCACGGCGCCGAGAGGTAGAGCGGCGTGCCCGCGATCGATTCGGTCGCGTAATGAAGCACGTCGTGACTCGAGTGGCGGCCGTCGCAGACCGGGCCCAGAAGCGCGGCGGCGATCCACATCACGCCCGCCTGCCTGACCCACACCGACAACGGAGGGTCGAGCGAATCTCGGACCGGGCGAGCGCCCGCCGCCGGCGGGAGATGGCGAGGCGCTGCAAGGCCTGCCACCCTCGAACCACGAGAAGACGACGGGATCGGTAGGCCGGGAAACAATAGCAGGATGGCGAGCATGGTCGCCGGAGGCTCGGGACGGGAATGGCGCGGCTGCAGGTTTGGCGGCACTGGCCACACGAGACGGGGTGTCGTCCCACACGATGGCATCACGCTCGCACATGCCGACCACCGCCACGGCGGCGAGACGCCTTCTCCGCCACCGCGGCGCCGGCCACAGGCCAGCGCTAGGCAGCTGCCGGCCACATCGGGCCGGATTTGCCGGTAACCGTCGCCGCACACTCCTACGTCCACGCCGCTGTGACGTCTGGCGACGAGGCGCCGGCCGCCAAGCTTCATCGCCAACGTGGTCGCTCGCTGGTCCTCTCGGCTCGGCCACGCGTCGGCCCAGCTCGCACGAGCTCCAGACAGCCACCAGTCGCCAGATAGTAAACGGGTCAGAAACGGCCAAAAACAGGCTACAGCCCCACACACGCGCCCGCCATAGCTCCTGGAGAGCATGAGCGAGTGACGCGCTGCAAGCCGCGAGAGTGGCATCAGAGGCAGGAACGACCGGCTCTCGTTGCTCCTCACAGCTCCAACGCGTGTGCTCGCAATCTACGCCTCGGCCTCCGCCTGCGGCATTGCTCTCGCGCAGCTCGGCGACGCAGGTCCATCACAGCAGGGCATCCAATGCGAGCGCACATTGTGCGTACGAAGTGGTACGCCGCGGGCAGGTGGCAGAGCACGGCCACACACCGGCTGTGGCTGTGGCGGCTCGTATGCCCCCGGCAGTGCTGCTAGTCATTAACCTGCGTGTATTGGAACCGCAGCAGGCTGCTGCTGCTGCAGCAGCAGCCTGCTGCTGCCTCATATTCAGTCAAGCCAGCGGCGCAGCGAGGCGTGCAGAAATCGCGTGGTTTTGTCCCTCCTGAGGCTGAGCGCATTCAAGCCCATCGACCGGAGTTGGATGGTACCCCGCGTCTCACTGAGACGCGGGGTACTGGCCATGGCTGGACTGCGGAGCGTGAGGTGGAGAGCGGAGCGAGCGACAAAACAACGAGAAAACCAGGGATCTGACGGATGTCACAAGACGTCAGATCTGGCTCACCCAGGGCTGGACCTAGTCGCTAGTCCCTAGCATGTGGTGAAGCCTCTGGGGGGGTCGGGACCCCCCCCCCCCCCAGCATGTGGTGTGGAGAGAAGCCCCCCCCCCCCCCCTGGAAGCATGTGCGCCTGCTCCAGTGCAACAGAGGATTCAGCTTGTCCGCGACATCGCTGCAAATGATTGCGCAACGGCAACACGATGGCACTACTCAGCGGCGAGCCTTGTGTCAGGGGCGGCGCTTCCCGTGTTAAAGTGCGGCTGATGGTAGAGGCGCCGGGGGTTATACTTCGACCCTGTCGACGGGACGCCACCACGCCCCAACAGCAGCAGCAACCACCCGACTGGACGGCGTACACAGATGGGTCGGAAGACGGAGGCAGGGCGGGATGGGCGTACGCCGTAGTCATAGGCGGGGACGGCATAAGCGACGAGAATGCCATGCTCGTGAGCGAAGGTTACGGCCCCGTCGTGACTAGCCCCGTACACGCCGCTTTCGTGGGGGCGCGTAAACACACCAATAACACGGCGGAGCTGTCAGCGCTTGCGGAGCTCTTCCGCTCACTACTCCACACAGCACAACGACCAGCAGGCTCACGGTATGTGGTCCGAACGGACAGCGAGTACGCGATGGCGTGTGCGACGGGGAGAACTGCCCCGGGGGAGAACGCACAACTAGCGTGGCGGCACTTAGCGTCGAGGCACGAAGTGACATGGAGACACGTCAAGGGACACAGTGGTCATAAGTGGAACGGCTACGTCGATAAGCAAGCTGACCTCGGCAGGAGCGGTGCGAGGGACTGCGGCGCGCCGGAGTGGCAAGACGAGTCTGTCCCAACAGACGCAGACGACGGGGAGAGCAGCACCGTGGGCGACGACATGCCTATCAACGGAGGAGGTACAACCATCCCACTCGACGACATCGGTGATGGGGCCTCTAGCTACGCCGATGACCCACCCGACTCCCCCGAAAACGATCCGCTGCCGAGCGCCCCGCCCTCGCCGCCTAAAGCCCCAGTCGTGGAGCAGGGGGGGATATGGATTTCATACACGCCGAGCGCGCAGGCGCGACACATCAGGGACAATAAGGGGATCCGGCGTGAAAGAGCTATCGTCATCGACCTTGACCCAGCCGATCCCACCGACGTCGACGCCATCACCTCCGCGGCTGCCGCGCTTTCGCTCGACGACACCGTAGAGAATCGCACCGAGGACCTTGCCGAGGCGATGGGCCGGATCACTTTGGACCCCGACCCCGCCCCCACCCCTCGGGGTGGGGGCACCCGCCCCTGTCGGGCACCGCTTGCGGCGCCTGGCGGGGGCACCCCCTGGGTGGGGGCCGGCGACTCCCATGCCGGCTATCCGCCACAACCCCCGCCGGGAGGGAATCCCTGCTCACACAAAAGGGCTCCGAGCCCTGTCTCGCGCACGCCCCTGGCGGGCGCCGCGGACCAGTTCCGCGAGCGCCCGTCAGCGGGTGGTGTGCGGTTCTTGCCGTAGTTCCTCTTCGGTCGCTTAGCCCCGGCGCCGTCTGTCGGACGCCTGCGTGTCACGAGTGCGAGCCGCTCGCGGTTCGTACACCCGCTTGCGGGTTCGAGTGGCGGGCCATCCCGCTTGCGGGATGGCTGAGCGGGTTCGAGCCGTCACACATTGGCTGCCGGGGTGTGCCGAGGTGCGGTAGGTAGACAATCTACCTCCCATCTAACCGCGCCTACCCTTTCTTGGGTAATGGGTAGACCTTTCACACCCACCGAGGTCATTACCTCCAACTAGTTCGTGCGTCCTGCTATCGCCCGCCTGCTTTCGTTGCGTGCTATTCAGAGTCAAATTTTTGCGCGAAATCCCACACTGGTGGATTTTGGGCATTGGGGCGCTGCGCCGAGCCGCACCCCCTACTCTTGAGCTACCCACGCGCACTGGGCCTTGCACTTTTAATGCCGTGGGGCTGCTGTCGTTAGACGTGGAGACGCGAGGGTCGGCGGTCGCCCCCCCCCTTGCCCCACCACCTTGTGCCGGCACCAACTTGATTCCCGGATGCGCGTCTCCCCCTCCCCCTATGTGCCGCCACCCCCCTCCAATCCGTAATTCCGTAAAATCGCGTGAAAAGCGCCCTAATCGAGCTGGAGAGCGGCCCCCAGCCGCATGGGAGCGTGCCCCAGCTAGCAGGAGGCGTTAGACGTACTTTTCGGCGTGAACAAGGACTTTCGGCGACGTCCGTTCCCTTGGACACTCCCTTGCACACGTCGACAAATGGCACCGACGCAGCTCAGCATTGTGCTGGAGCGCATGCTCAACGAACTCGGGATAGCCGACCTCAGTACGTTCGAGGCTGTGCTCATGCACGATACAGGCGCAGTGGTCGACGCGGTCCGAAGCACCGCTGCAGCCGCAGAGGCTGGTGCGGCGGCTTATGCCAGCTCGGCCACGAGCAATGTTGTTGTGTCCCCAGGCAGCACTGCTACCGCTGGCGTAATCTCTGTGCAGCACAAGGGCAGCTTCTCCCGCACTCTCGTCAGCACAGACGCGCAAACCACGCTAAAGGGCTCGGACATCCATGCAGCCGCGAGTAGTGCGACTGCTGAGATGCTGCTCCGGCAGGAGTTGGAAGAGAAGTTGCGGTCACAGACCAAGGAGCTCGCTTCTGAGCAGCGCTCTGCGAACGCTATGAAGAAGGCGCTCGCGTCGGCGCGGGATGAGCTTGCTGCGGCACAAGAGCTGAGGCGCTCCGACTGCGACAACCTGAGGAGAGCGCAGCAGGCTGCTAAACGCGACATCAAAGCGGCTGAGCGGATGGCCGACCAGGCAAATCATGCAGCTCGAGCTGAGTGTGAGTGGCGTATCGGCGAGATGCGGGCCAAGATGCAGGCCGAGCTGCGCGAGCAGCTCGACGCGCTGCAGATTTCGATGGAGGCAGAGGCGAGGCGCGCTGATGCCGCAGAGGCGGAGAGGTCAAGGCTGTACGACAAGATGGAGGAGATTATGCGCACGCGTGAGGGGTTGATAGACGCACTCGCAGAGGCGCAGCGCAAGCGCGAATATAGTGATTGTTGAGAGATATACGTAGCGTTACAGTCGTACGGTCGTCGACCCTCCCACCGTGTGGGCCGCCCGGACCCCGGAGAGCGCTGCGCGTGCAGACAGCGCTGCGCGAGCATTGGAGAGGCCAGCCCCCGGCTTCTCAGCAAGTCGCGAGTGCTGTGTCTCTGCCTGCCTGGTAGCTGGGTGTGGTGGGGGGCTCTCTGGTGGCTTTTGGTTACAAGTTTACGGATTTACGGATTTACGGATCCACCCCCCTCCCTCCCCGTCCCGTGACCCGGCCGTGAGACGCGCATCCGGGAATCAAGTTGGTGCCGGGTGTGTGTGTGGACGAGAAGTTTACCTTACCTTACCTTACTCTTGAGCTCGTGCCACCCTCCCCGCTCCCGCCGCGCGCGCGCGCGCGCGCGCGCGCGCGCGCGCGCGCGCGCGCGCGCTGGTTAAGACTTCACAGCCCTTCGAGGGGTCTCACCGGATTTTAACATTTATCTTTTCTCTCAGTACTCATCACCGGAGTCTCTCCCTCGTCGGTCTCCACGCGCGGCGAATCACGGCAAGAGAGACGGGGAGAGCTAAGTGGGCTCTGCGAGGTCTGTGTCGGCAAAGATTCCTCCAAGCTCTTTCCCCCCGTGCAAAGCGAAAGGGGCTCCATATCTCCGCCCGAGTTCCCGCTCCCTCAGCTCTGATCGGTAGACCCCATCGGCTCGTCCCCCCACCGCGCCTCCGGCGGCAAACGGTCGGGCGCTGCGCGGCTTCGAGTCGCCTTCACAACGCAAAACGAACCCCCTCACCACTCGGGTGCGCAACAGGGAGGGAGGGGTGTCGCGTGGTGACGGCGGCGGCACCGAGAGCGGCGGCTGAGCGGGCGGCGCGGCGCGGCGGCCGGGCAGGAGCGACGTGGCGAGCAGCAGCGCCGCGCACGCGGCGGCAAGGAAGAGGGCCATCTGCGCGGCTTGCTCCTGCGCGGGAAGGGGGCGGCGGTGTGTGTGGTTGAGGTGTGTGACCTGTTCGCTGTTCGTACCTATCGCT